TAGTCAACTACATGGGAGTCCAGCAACATAGCCATTATGCCAACTGCTGGTCACAGCAGCAAACTTTGTTTTAATAGCAAAATTTGAAGAAGGAAGCAATATGCTGGATTTATATTCTGGTGCAAGTGTCTAATATCAATGCATTTTGATAGTACTGGTATAATTTATTAGTAGGTTACATGAATACATACTACCTAAAGTGTTTTGGATAAATTCTTAAGTGGTTTTAGGTTGTTCTTTGTTCTGTTTTGAAGTTGACTGATGTAATTTCTTAGTATTATTATTTTAGGAAAATTATTTCTTCCTTAATAGACCACAGATTCCCTACTACTTTTATTTTTTTATTTATACTTTTATTTACTTTGAGAGAGAGATTTTTGCTACAGGGTGCATGCGCTCACCTGAGAGACAGAGAGACAGAAAGTGAGAAATCAACTCCCCCTGGTGGGAGGATGGCCATGCCTCAATCCCTTCTCTTCCATTTTCCTCTCAGGATCCTGAGTGTGCATGCACATGCTCCCAGCATGAGTTTTAAGTCACTGGGTCTGGGGCACAAGCCACGGTTGGCCACTTGAGCATCCACTGACAAAACCATTACAGCATTTGCTGGTCCCTATACATATATACATACATACATACATACATTTATTTATCTATCTATTTATCTACCTACCTACCATTTCCAGAAGATGTATGTATGGGGAGAGACAGAGAAAGAGGGAAAGTGAGAAAGCGCCTTCCAGGGGGGATGGTCATGCCACCATCCCTTCTTTTCTATTCTCTTTTTGGGATTTGGGGCATGCATGTATACAGACGCTGCATGCTTTTCAAGCTACCGGGTCCAGGACTTGAACTGCATTGTCACCCATGTGGGAGGGACCTGCCACCTTAACTATCATGCTACCAGCTGGCTTCCTCCTCTAATTTTAAATCAAAGCTGCTCTCGCCTTAGCCATCTAAATCCTGACTTAATAGTTTTGTTTTAATCTGTATCTCTCTGACACTTACTTTATAATGTGGCCAGGCTTTTGACCTGAACAAATGCCAGACAGCCACTGCTCCTTGCTGCCAAACCTTTTGTGACTGGCTCGTCCTTAAGCCACTATTTTTTCTTTGTTGATGTTGTTGTTCATCACATTCCTCCAGTCATTGATCTAGTTGTCTTAGTTTTTCCTTTCTTGTTCTACCCTTACTTTATCTTGTCATGCTTACATGGGAACACTTTCTAGCCTTTCAGTCCTCTTGCCTGTGATTCCAAAAGCATTTCTTTTCTTTTCTTTTTCTTTTTTTTTTGAAGAGAGATTTTTGCTGTAAGGTGTGTGCACTCACTGTAGAGACAGAGACAGAGGGATAGAAGGTGAGAAGTCACCCCCCAGAGGGTATGGCCACACTGCAACCCCTTCTCCATCCTCCTCTCAGGATCTTGGGCTCAAACGCACACATATTCTGCATGAGTTTTAAGCCACTGGGTCTGGGACTTGAACCACGGTCAACTCCGTGGGAGTCCAGCAACGTAAAAATTACACCATCTGTTGGTCCCCCCAAAAGCATTTCTAAAGCCTATTTTATGTTATAATCAATTCTGCTTTTACCAAAAAAGAGTAGACTTTACAGATACAATTTATAATAAAGAGAACCTTAAAAGAAACATAGTCAGTTCCCTTTTTAGTAATATAGATATCTAATTCTTTTTTTCTTGTTGGCTATGTTTAAATACTTTACGTGCAGAGAAATAAGGTTTTAAATTGCCCTGACAAAGGAAGCAGATTTCCCCTGAAGTCGTTTTATGAATTTTCTTTACTTATTTTAGAATCACTGAAATTTTAACTCTGGCTTTTCCCCCTTTTCAGTCACTATCACCCTTTGACCCTAGCAGATTGTTTGGCTGGCAGCCTGCCAACACCCTAGCTATTGGAGGTAAGTCATGACGCGTGCTTCTCACTTTAGAAGCATTTAGCAGTGCTGACCATAGAGATGAATGCACGTAAAGCTGACCCAGTGTTTTCACTGCTTTCTGTTTTAAAAATAAAGGTGCATTCCAATGGAAAACACTTGCCAGGAGGCTGGATTAAAAACATGTGTTAAGTCACGCAGTGCTATACTTGGTGGGGAATATAACGTGTACCTTCTGCTTACGTTTCTCCTTTTTCCAAAAACCCCTCTTTGTTTGCAATGTCAGGTTATAAAGGTTAAGAACAAGGTATTGGCATTAAAGAAATCCTGATGCTGCCATAGCTGTGTGGCTTGGAAAAGTGATTTAATTTTTCTCCAATTCCCTATAAAATAAGGTTAATAAGTGTCCACTTCACATATTACTGTGAGAATGAAAAGAGACAAGGCATTTAGAGAGCTCCCTCATGATGCCAATATACACATACCATACTCTGTAGACCATAATGAGACCAGTTATCTCATTCTTAAATTCTGCTTTTTTTCTTTCTTTTACCTGTGCATTAGTCTTTAATTTCATGTTATCTGTGAACCATTTTGTATTATTACAGCCTCTCTTACTGTAAATTAGGCTTCACATTAGTACTGTCCATCTATGTGTACCCTGTAAGCTATTTAGTGACGTATGTAAGAATGAATTTTCTAATTGATCTATATTATAAGTTCAATTTTTAAATAAATTATTCTTTTTAAAATTATCTATTTAATTTTATTTGTTATTATTATTTTTTTTAATTTGACCAAAGAGACAGAGAGAGCAAGAGAAGGAGAAAGTGGGAAAGCAAGCTGCTAGGTCTGGGACACGAACTGTGGTCAGCCATGTAGGAGTCCAGCACCTTAACCACCACGCCACTTGGTGGCCCTAAGTTCAAATTTTTAAATGTATTTATTACCTATTATAATTTTTAAAAATTCATTTATTTATTTCTTCCATGGCATGCACACATGCATACACACACACACACACACACACACACACACACACAGAGAGAGATTCAGAGAAAAAGGCACCCTACCCCAAACAGAGTCTCCACATTGCAGTCCACCCCAACTGCAGCCAGGCCAGATCAGGGGCACGCATATGCATGTGCACCCAGCTTCTACAAAGAGGCTTCAGGACAGAGACCCAGGGCCTTCCCATGTAGGTCCAGTTGGACTACCACCGCACCTCCGTCTAGCCCTTAAATGTTGATATATTGAATTTACCTATACCAGAGTCCAGTGCAGTATCATACTATGATAAACACTCTGTAAATATTTATTGAGTGCTGGAAAAATAGTATTTATTACATCTTCCAGTGGAAATACCTTAACCTCTATGAAATTACTAGAGAATAGACGAAGTCCCCTGTCCTCTTGTAGTGGCGTCAGCTCCATCACTGAGCTGGCATCCTCACCCCCCTCTTGAGAGTGAACACTCTGCTAAGAACTTTAGGGGAAAGAGAAATTAAAGGGATGTTTCCCACAGTTTTTTAGAAGTTTAAGATACTCTTGAGGAAATAAAGCACAAAGTAAAAGAAACAATTGTCAAGAAAACATAATACATATTTATACAGTGAAGAGTTATATTTCATTTTTTTTAAGAGAGATTTTTGCTATAGGGCATGTACGCTTCGCCTCTCCCAGCCTCTACAAGTGAACGTGCCCTCTGACAAATTAAAAAAATAAAAATAAAAATAGAAAAAATGATTTAAAGCAACTGCAGGAGTGGATCAACATACACAAATAAAAAAAATGGAATTGTCAGAGTTTGCAGATAGTATGTTTTGTATATAGAAAGCCCTAGAGACTGGCCCGACAACAGTAGCATGCACTTGTAGACTTTACCGCTCTGTAGGCTAAGGCCCTGTGGGAGGCCTATAGCAAAAACCTCTCTATTAAAAGAAAAAAATGATAAGCATATCGAACCATCACATTATCCACCTTAAATATGTACAGTTTAAAAATGATAAATAAGTTACTTAAGGTCCTGATGTCAAAACCAGGAATCAGTCACACACTTTTATGAACCCAGAGCTCTATTATCGCTGGGTCACTAGGTCTACCTAACTGAAGTGTCTTCCCTCTCCTGGAAACAGTGTCATCAGTGGGACAGCTTCCAGAGTTATTTTTGATCAGTTTATACATTCAAGCACAATGACTCCAGCTCACTCACAGTAGCCCCCAAATGAGCACACACAAGTTCTGAGAGTCACTCCTGGGTCCACTTTCTCCCGTTCCCAGTAGATGCTCCTCATTTGGTTTAGAGGTGTTCCAGGTATTGAGAACTCTCCCCAAAGCCATATGTTAGCATCTGTAACAACAGATGGGCTCCTTGTGTAGCCAGAGAGAAGAAATCTCTGCACCCCCAGCAGCCACTGAGCCTTGTTCAGTGGGCAGACATACCTTCCCAGTTCTCTGCCAAGGCTACAGTTCTCATAGGAGCAAGATTCGTTTATTTAAACAAATTATTAGTTATTTAATTCCATTTGTTATTATTATTTCTTTGACCAGAGAAAGAAAGGAAAGGAAAGCTAGAAAGCAAGCCACCAGGTCTGGGACTTGAACTGCAGTCGACCATGTGGGAATCCAGCACCATCAACCACCACCACACCACCTGCCAGCTAGCGCAATCCTCAGTGATGAGCCCAATGTGCTCGTTGCACTGGGTCATGGATGTCCAGAGAGGAGAGGAGACAGCCAGAGCACTCAGCAGGTTAGAAACAGCTCTCTAGTGCTAATTTTGGATCCTGAGACAGTTTTTAAAGAAAAGAATTTAAAAAAAAAGAAGAAAGGATTTAAAATGACAAGTTCAGTCAGGAAAAAAGCAAGAGTTTTTATGCAGCTTCTCAGGTAAATGTATGAAAAAAGGGCTATTTCTATACATTGAAGTAAACTCTTACATTTGGTATGTTTAAATGATACTCAGTGATGCAAAATGATTACAGCAACCACATTTCTTTTACTATTAAGTTAGAGTTAAATTTTTCATGTGTGAATCTGAAATTAATCATGGTGAGGTAAAAATTAATATTGCTTGGGGCCAATAGTTGGTATGGTGGTTAAGGGTGCTGGGCTCCCACATGGCCAACTGCAGTTCGAGTCCTAGACCTGGCAGCTTGCTTTCTCACTTTCTCTCTCACTGTGTCCCTCTCCAATCAAATTAAAATAAGTAAATTAATAAAGTTAAGTTTTAAAAATAAATATCATCTTTTTTTTTGTAATTGCTTCATTTTCCCCCACCAGATGCATCAAGTCACCTCCCACATTTTTCAAGCCCTGACCTGGTTAATAAGTATGCTGTAGTGGAACGTCTGAATTTTGCTTATTATTTACATCATGGACGGCCATCATTTGCATTTGGTACTTTCCTGGTCCAGGAATTAATCAAGAGCAAGACTCCCAAACAGCTGTGAGTATATAATTTGTCCTCTTAGAAAAAGGCGTATGTGGGACTAGCCAGTGGCATGGTGGTTAAGGCAGCTGGATCCCACATAGTTTTCTATATGGTTTGAATCCTGGACCTGGCGACTTGAAAAATATGCCAGGACATGTGTGTGCATGCCCAAAATTCTGAAAAGAGAAATAGAGCAGAGAGGGTTACTAGGTCACCATCCCCCATGGGGGGATGCTTCTACTTCCCCCACCCCTCTTTCTCTGGCAAATGCACATACCCTCTAGCAGATTATAAAAGAAAAAAGAGACATTATTTGTGTTTTTTGCATATACATTAAACAAACTTACTAAATCTTATAACTCTGGTATAGACATTTGCTTTTCTGCATGTCCCAAGTTTTTGATATTTGGCATATGTGATGTTTGGTAATAGGAAAAAGATTAAAAAAAATACATTTTAAGATAAAAAACATTTTAAAATTATGGGGAGCTTAAATATTAGCAGTTATTCCATAGAGGGAATCTATAATAATGAGATGTGAATTCTGTAAGTTTTTTTTTTATAATTCAGTTTTACAAAACACAGGGTTGAGAGGAATATTTGATCCAATGAGAAACTAAATATAGATTTACTTTATTGGTTTGTTTCATACTTAACAAAATAATGCATTTTTATGGTAAAATATTCAAGGAGCTCAGGAAGGTGAAAATGAAAGATAAAGTCCCTCAGACTCCCATTCGCATTCCACATAGTAAACATGGTTAATGATTTCTTACACATCTTTCCAGAAACTCTTCTACACTTGAAAAAGGCGTATATGAATCTTTTAAAATGTACTTTTTGGGGTCAGCAGGTGGTATGTAAGTTAAGGTGTCTGGATCCCACATGGTCAACTCTTTAGTTTGAATCCTGGACCCAGAGGCTAGAAAACCATGCTGGACACATGTGTGTGCATGCACAAAACCCAAAAGGGGACGATAGGGAAAGGGATTGCAGCATGGCCATCCCTCTGGGGGTACTTTCTCACTCCCTCCTACCATCCCTTTCCAGTGAGCGCATGTGCCTATAGCAAAAAAAAAAAAAAAAAAACACTTTTAAAAAAATTATATCAACTTTAAATGGCATTAATTTTCTTTTCTTTCCTGTTTCAAACTTTTTTTGTGGGACCATCAGTTGGCATAATGGCTACGTCACTGGACTCCCATGTGGTTGACCGCGGTTCAAGTCCTGGACCTGGTGGCTTAAACTTAAGCCAGGTGCATGTGCGTGCGTGCCCAAGATCCCAAGAGGAGAATGGAGGAGAAGGGATTGCAGCGTGCCCATACCCCCAGGGGATGATTTCTCTCTTTCTGTCTCTCTGTCTCTATCTGGCAAGCACACTCACCCTATAGCAAAAACCTCTCCCCCCCAAAAAAAAAAAAATGTTTTGCTATAGGGTATATGAGCTTCCTAGAGACAGGCAGGGACAGAGAGAGAGGGGAAATGAGAGAAGAGGACCATGCTGCAGCCCCCCTTCTCTTGAGATTTTAGTCACACCATGTACACATGCACACATGCCAGGTGTGATTTTAAAGCCACCCGTCAGGGAATCAAACTGCTATGAGGGATACAGAAACTGCTGTGTTTCTGGCTGGCCAGCATTAATTTTCTTGATAGTTTATATACATGCTCATAGTTGATAAGATCACAGTTGGCTATTCTTCAAAAGTTTCATTTCTTGTCTTCTTGATGATGTTGGAAGGAACACTAATTTATATTAAGAGAAAATAAGTGTAAAGGAATGGGGGTTATGGAGCCAGAGACAACTGAAAAATGACCAGAAACCTAATGGATGTGTGCAAGGGCATAAAAAGGGAAGGGGGAAGATGCCGCAAGTTGAGGTCTGGGACTCCCTATATCACCAGTGTAATTCCACTTGTTTTTTCCTGGTGGAGAAAATGTTTTCCATGGGCTAATGTGATTTTATTCCTTTCTTTTTCAGGATCCAGCAAGTAGGCAATGAAGCCTATGTTTTAGGGCTCTCCTCCTTCCATGTACCTTCAATAGGAGCGGCCTGTGTGTGTTTCTTAGAATTGCTTGGCCTCGACAGCCTCAAGCTCAGAGTTGATATGAAAGTGGCCAATATCATTTTGAGCTACAGGTGTAGAAATGAAGATGCTCCATACAGCTTGATCAGAGAGTCTCTAGGTATAATGCCTTTTCTTTACATGTGCCTTGTTTTGTCCATTGGAGAATGGGTGAATAGACCTGTGAGGCATTGAATTGTGAGTAGTTGGGGAGAAAAAATTATCTTCCTGGTTCATCCTTTGTCTGCTGAGTGCATATTCTTTTTTTTAAGAATTATTTTATTTAACTTCCTTTCTTCCTTCCTTCATTCCTTTCTTTCTCTCTTCCTCCCTTCCTCTCTTTCTTTCTTTCTCTCTCTCTTTTCCTTTCTTTCTCTCTCTCTTCCTCTCATTCCCTCTCTCTCTCTCTTTCTCTCTCTGTCTTTTTTCTTCCTCTATTTCTTTCTCTCTCTCTTTCTCTCTCTCTTTCTTTCTTTTCTCCAGAGAAGGGACAGAGAGAGAGAGAGAAAGTGAGAAAGCAAGGCGCCAGATCCAGTACTTGAACAACAGTCAACCATGTGAGAGCCCAGCGCCCTTAACCAAACGCCACCTGCTGGCCCCAGCTGAGTGCATATTCTTTATCTCACTTTCTAGGGTGCTTTAACTGGGTGATGAAATGGCCCTGGGCATACAATTCAAACAGAAATCCCCAGGTCCTGACTTTTTTCCTTGACCATATTTAATTGTTTTATTTCTGTAGCTGAAAAACTGTCTAAACTGGCCAATGGTGAAAAGGCAATCACAGAAGAATTGCTTGGGTTCTTAGAAGAAGGTACCTGGAACAGCATTCAGCAGCAGGAAGTGAAGAGGTCTGTGAGCTGCAATCCTAACCTCTTTTCTAGCAAGCTTGTTATGCCAACCTTTGGTTGTCTGTCTTTCTTCAGACACCTCTGGGACATCCTCCTAGGACTTATTTTTCTTACTTATTCAGCATATAGCAGATACCGAGTAAATGGATAATGATTTTCTTAAAGTTTTTACTTATTGGGGCCAGCAGGTGGCATGGTGGTTGAGGGCGCTGGATTCCCACATGGGCAACCATGGTTCGAGTCCCAGACCTGGCAGCTTGCTTTCTCACTTTCCCTCTCTCTCTTGCTCCCTCTCTGGTCAAATAATAATAATAATAATAAATAAAGTTAAATAAAATAATTCTTAATAAAAAGTTTTACCTATTTATTTCATGAGCAACAGAGAGAGAGAGTACCCCCAGTGGGGTCCCAGGACTGCATTCCACCCAGCTTCAGCCAGCCCTGGGTTGTGGGCACATGTGCCCTTGTTTATTCTGGATGCAAACCAAAAACCTTCCCATGTGGGTCAGCCTTGAAGATCACCACATTTTAGTGCTGCACAACCATCCATCCCCTTGGCCAGTGATTTTAATGGCTTCTTGCCATCAGTGGAAGGAGAATGAAGGTAGTCCATTCTCATTTAGGACTTATCAAAAGCTAGAATCTTTGTCTCCTCCACTATCCTGTTGGTCAGGGCAGTCTTTAAAGTGTTACTTGTTGAAATAATTTCGGAAGTGTAGGATGGGTCTCATTTGATTCTAGGTGATGCTCTTTTATTATTATTATTATTACTATTTATTTCATTTTATTTATCATTTATTATTGAATGCATTCACACTCAGTGTATCTCTCAAGCTGCAGGGGCCAGGATCAGAACCACAGTCGGCCATGTGGGATCTAGCTCCATACACTTAACAGCTTAACCACTGTGTTATACGGATGACCCTAAAGCTCTATTTCAATAAGTTTTCTTTCTACCACCTTCACTCTTAATTCTAATTATAGGGTGTCCAATGAATCTAGCAGCCAGTGGGCATTAGTGGTGCAGTTCTGCAGACTCCACAACATGAAACCGAGCACAGCATACCTTAGAGAATGTGCCAAAGCAAACGACTGGCTGCAGTTCATTATTCACAGCCAACTTCATAACTACCATCCAGAGGAGGTAAGCCACTGGTTTTGGTAGTATTCAAGAGGAAACTGGAACACTTCTCAGGAGAAAAATTATGTTCTTACTGTTGTGTGGCTCTAAGCTTTTGTTTGATAGGATACTGTTATTTCTAATAAGATTTCAGAGGGTTGGCATCAGACAAGGGACTAGTCACTCATAATGAAGAGCTGAAAAGTTTTGTGACTCCAGATGAGATAAGGAAATTCATTTAAAAGCAGCAAACAGCTTTGTAAAATTACATGGTCATCTCTGACAAAGTTCATGGTGAGAAAGAATAATTTTGCCTCTGCTTTCTTTAAAACACTTTTAGCTCCAGTGGAAACTGAAAGATAGGTTTCTATTTTGATCATCTAATATATTTTCTAGGTGAAATCCCTTCTCCAGTACTTCAGCCCAGTCCTTCAAGACCACTTAAGGCTCGCATTTGAGCACTTGCCCTCCGTGTGCAACTCCAGTATGGACAATAATCAGGTCTTCTACAAGTCCCCCCAGGAGCTCCAGGGAAACAAAGGCGAGACGACCGATTTATTTGCAATTCTGCTCCAGTGCTCAGAGGAGCCAGATGCCTGGCGCTGGCTCCTGGCAGAGGCAGTGAGACAACAGGCGCCTGTCCTTAGTGTCCTGGCCTCGTGTCTCCAGGTGAGTCAGGAGAAGCCTAAATTAAGGATCCAGAGAGCAGCAGAAAAAGTAGTGAGGAACAGGGAAGGCTGATCATCAGTGTAGTGACAGTGACAGTTTCCAGTGTGAGCTTCCAAGGTCATCGCAACTTCCTGTGCTTCTCTAGTTCTGGCTCGGTCTGATCATCAGTGTAGTGACAGTGACAGGTTCCAATGTGAGCTTCCAAGGTTATTGCAACTTCCTGTGCTTCTCTAGCTCAGGCTTGGTCAGAGCCTTGGTTGCTGGCTGGAGGTCTCAGAGAAGGATGCCTGGGTGGACCGACTACAGCTGCTGCTTGAGCACTTTGCGGGGAAGGCGGATGTTCCAGGGGGTCCTTAATTGCAGCTGAATGAGGGGCAGTTACTCTCCCCTACCCAGTACGTCCCTGACTTCCGCTCTGTCCTCCTCTGTCTTCTCCTTGGCCTTTTGAAGTGTGACCCTCCCTCCTGCCACACTATGGGACATTTTATAATTATCCCTCAGTTTTTCATTAGAGATTTTTAATGTCTGAAAACTTTTCAAGTAATTTTAACTAATTAAATGAGATGACTTGTTTGATAAACAGGAAATACCCATCTGTAGCATTTTTCAAAACGTTTGACAGAGACAAACCCTCCACACCAAGGGTCATGGTCACACTGCAATCCATTCTTCCCTCCTTTCAGGACTTTTAGCACACATCCACACATGCCTGGCATGTTTCTCAAGCTGCTAGGTCCAGGGTTCAAGCCACGCAGCTGACCATGTGGGATCCAACCACTTTAATCACCACACCATGGGCTGGCCCACATAGGGGTTTTTGTTTGTTCCAAGTTTATTTATTTCTTCTATGAAGGAAGGAGAGACAAAGAGAGAGAGAGACAACATCTCCAATAGGGTCTTGACACTGAGTTCCACCCTGAAACTCAACCAGCCCCAAATTATGGGCACACATGCAGCCTCGCCCTAGGGAAGTCTCGACCCTTTGTGGGTTAACCCAGACCCTTTGTGGGTTAACCCAGCAGAGCATCACGTTTTACCACTGCGCTACCTCCTGGCCCCTTTCTGTAGCATTTGTGTATCTGTCAGGTAATCCAAACCCAGTTATTTTTGAGAATTTATTCAATGGCAGGATGCCAGTGCTCTTCCTTGTCTCTGTGTCTGGATCATCACTTCTGTGGAGGACAGTGTAGCAGCTGAAGCAGTGGGGCACATTCAGGACTTAATCGAGAGCCACACCTGGGACCTTGAGGACCTTTCAGTCATCTGGAGGACATTATTAACAAGACAGAAGAGCAAAACTCTCATCAAAGCGTCCCAACTCTTCGCTAAGGTAGTGATGGTCATTTTATTTCTTTTCAGACCTTAGGAGGGATATTTCAGCATATCCATTGCTAGCTTTTTCTTATTCCCATCCCTGGATTCTTTTTTTACCCACCAGTAGATGGAGATAATAGAAACAGAACTACCATTTATCTAGCAAAGTGCTTTATATACTTTTTTTGGTCAGTTTTCACAGTAATCCTATACAAAGGTAATATTTTATGAGGATCTTAAAAAGTAGTATTATCTGCATTTTGCAGATTAATAGACCAAAGGCTCATAGAACTTAAGTAACCTACCCAAGGTCTCAAAGTTACTCTTCTAAACTTCTGTGCTCTAAACAACTCCAAGTGAAAGCCAGGGAAATCTATGGATCAATAGCAGATGGGGTGGGGCAGTGCAGCCAGCTACCCAGGTGTGTATTGTAGAGGTCAGAGCGCCACCTAGTGGGATGTGTCCTGCCTGTGGTGATGGACCAGGTGTAGAACAGACAGAAAACATATTGTTGAGTACTCTTTCTCCTAAGAGTAAAAGAAAATACAAATTTAACTTCCTTTCTTTTTAACAGATGACACTTAATACTACTGTGAAGCTATTATTAATAGCAAATATTTTAGTAACATTCTCTAAATTGGCATTATTTATTGAGAAAAGATTGAGTTTAGGACTTTGTAACTGATCCAAACTTTTCTTCTAAGGATTCCCCACTACTGTTGATAATGGAGATGTATGAACTGTGTATGTTCTTCAAGAATTACAAGGAAGCAGAAGCTAAACTTCTGGATTTCCAGCAGAGCCTTGAAACTGTAAGTTTCAACTAGCTACAGCGTGGCTGAGAGAAGCAGAGATATGCCAGGTGTTTGCAGAGAGAGGGAGAGCTGTGGGTGGCTTTTTCTTCTACAGCAGCCTGCACTTGTGAGAGTTTGTATCTTCTCAGGAGAGCTAGAACTCACTCGGGTTCTCATGAGAGAGCATTAATTTATTTACAAGGCCTCTGCTTCTGTGATACAATTGCTATGATTCAGTCACCACCAACAGGCCTCACCACCTCCCAATACCATCACATTGGAAACTAAATTCCAAAACATGAATATTTGGGGGACAAACCGTTTGTGCCATTGCAGAGATGTGGAAACCAGACGAGAGTTGTTAGAGCCTTGCTTCAGCAGCTTACCAGTTGCCAGGACCAGAGAGGTTTCATGTAATGTGTTAACTGATCAGTCCTGGTGGTGTAGCCAGGCTTGGTAGTAAAGGGATTAATGGAATCTGATGTGGACCGAAGAGAGGAGAGCGATGATACTGGGGACACATTTTGCCACTCAGCTCTGACCTTGTTGAGTATGAAGGATATTGAGTACTGCTCTATTCATGGTGATAGAAAGTGATTTTGGGGACCGGCAGATAGCATAATGGCTACGTTGCTGGACTCCCATTGTAGTTGACTGTGGTTCAAGTCCTGGACCTGGTGGCTTAAACTCATGCCAGGTGCATGTGCGTGTGTGCCCAAAATCCTGAGAGAAGAAAGGAGGAGAAAGGATTGCAGCATGGCCATCTCCCCGGGGGGTGATTTCTCACTTTCTGTCTCTCTGTCTTTCTCTGTCTATCTAGTGAGCACACGCGCCTTATGGCAAAAACCTCTCCAAATAAAAAAAGAAAGCAATTTTTTTTCTTCAGTACTTTGATATTCAAATGATGCTGAGCTGTGTGGTCAGTTCTAGGCTTTACCTATTTAGATGCTTGTTTATAGCCTGCTTACCCTTGTCAAGCTTATTAACCCTGTAACAAAAGAGGAAATTTTATGAAAGGAGAGGGATGGGCCATCAGGTGATGCGGTGATTAAGGTGCTGGACCCCTACATAGCTGACCATGATTCAAGTCCCGGATCTGGCTGCTTGAAAATCATACCGGGCTTGTGTGCATGCCCAAAATCCCAGGAGGAGAATGGCCATCCCCCCAGGTGATTTCTCACTTTCCCTCTCTGCCTCTCAGCAATGAGCACACATGTTTTATGGCAAAACCTAAAAACAAAAAGGAAAGGGAAGGTGCTTAGTCCAGCTTAGAATATTTGGCTCTTTTGCCTTTATCACAAAAGAGCTCTGTGAAAATTAGACAAAAGTATATAGCAATTCTCCCCAGTAGATGTGTCACACTGGAAAATCAGTACAAGTGTTTGTTCTCTGTCATATCGGTATTACCTGTAATGAAGATTTCTAAATGTTATATATTTGAAAATACTGAGTCAGTTACTGGCATGTGACCGGGGTTCCTGCATCACAGAAAACAGGCACATGAATCCGTCAGCCTGCTCCCCTCTGTGACTATAGTCCTTCCAGGTGTTGTCATCTTGCCTGGTGGCCCCACACCAGCCTCCTGCAGTGGCGCAGCACAGCTGCCCTCGTCCTGCCCCAGCCCTTTCCTTCCACATAGTTCTTCCTCCAGTTAGTTCTGTCTTCTGTCTGCAGTAGCCCCTCCTCTTACAGCAACAGAGTTAGGTAAATAGTAACAAAAAACAACAAAGACTAAGAAGTAATGCCTTAATCCCAGCTAATATATTTAAAAGAATTATTTTATTTAACTTTATTTATCATTATTATTATTTTCCAGTTTGATCAGACAGAGAGAGAGAGAGAAAGAAAGTGAGAAGGCGAGCCATGTGGGAGTCCGGCACCTTTAACCACCATGCCATGCCACCTGCCAGCACCAATCCCAACTAATTTTAATAAGGATATGCAGGGGAGAAAGAATCGAGAATAGAAGTATTATATAACATTTGATTCTTATAAAAATCAAAGTCAAGTCAGAATGATTATAGAAAATATTGAGTAACAATGTTAAAGCAGGAATAATAGCCAATAATGAGCTGACTGCCATTGTTCTCTTTCTCATAACAATACCCTGAATCCTTTGAAATGAAGGAGAAACTTCAAAATAGTGGATAAGCCCTATTGAAATTTCAGAGAAGAGGATGACAAATGGGCAGGGAATACCACCCAGGACAAAGGAGAGAATAGTAGAGAAGGGAATTCCAAGTAGGGGTAAGAAGATAGCAGTAATGTAACATCAGATTTATTAAGAAGTACTTTATTTAACTTTACTTAATTTATTTTAATTTGACCAGAGAGGGACTGAGAGAAAGAGAGAAAGTGAGAAAGCAAGCCACCAGGCCTGGGACTTGAACCGCAGTTGGCCATGTGGGAGTTCAGTGCCCTTAACCACTCTGCCACCTGCCAGCCCTGTAACATCAGATTTTACAAGCCATTTCTTTTTTTAAAAAGAATTATTTTTTAATTTTATTTTTATTCATTCACTTATTTTAATTTAACCACAGACTTACACACAGAAAGAGAGAGAGGGAAAGTGAGAAAGAAGTCACCAGGTCAAGGACTCAAACTGTAGTGGGCCATATAGGAGTGTTCAGTACCTTGACTATCACACCACCTGCTGGTTCCCTTATAAGCCTTTTTTTTTTTTTTTGGAGAGGTTTTTCCTATAGGGCGCGTGCGCTCGCCAGACAGACAGAGAGAGACATAGAGACAGAAAGCGAGAAATCACCCCCCAGGGGGGATGGTCACGCCGCAATCCCTTCTCCATTCTCCTCTTGGGATCTTGGGCACGCACACACACGTGCCCGGCGTGAGTTTTAAGCCACCAGGTCCAGGACGTGAACCGCGGTCGACTACATGGGAGTCCAGCGACATAGCCATTACGCTAACTGCTGGTTCCCTAAGCCATTTTTAAATTTAAGGTCTTGGCAGTCTTGGACCTTATCCTGTAGGGAATATTGCACTTCTAGAATCCATATTAGAGCCGGAAGCCTCTTTGCATATTAGAGTTACCTTCCAAGCAGCTGCTAAGTGTGATCTAAAGTATAAGGAAGCATCTGGCCAGACGAGGGCCTAACTCGGCACTAGGCACAGAGCTGATGAATTGTAAGGTTTTGGTGCCTGTCAACATAAATCTTTTTTGAAACCAGAAAGTTTTCTGTTCCACTAAAAGGCCCAGAGAAAGAGAAACAATGGCAGTCAGCTCATTATTTTTTGTAAATACCTTGTATGAGGTCTAGTGTTAACTATGGAACTAGTAAGAACCAAACATCAGTCTTCCAAAAGTAATACAAAGCAAGGGGCCAGTAAAACTCAGGACTGAAGTCAGTAAGGAAGCACCTTATGGGAAAGCACCTTCCTTAGTCTCTAAAATTTGCTTTTTCCTCCACTGTCTTAGATGTTTGCCACACCCACTTGTAGAAATATAGCCTGGTATAAGACTTGGAGTCATCTTCCTATTTATATGGTTAGCATTTGATTGAAACAACATCAGCCATAAGCATAGTAGTAGAACGAGCGCAGCAATGCTAAGCAAGTCTAAGAGATTTTTATGAATTTAATATCTGAATTCAAGGGCAGGGCTAGATATCTCTCTGAAGAAGCTGATAAGTGAAATATGTCTGGTTAACTTCACAGCGATTCACAGGACTATTAATATGATAGTCACTAACTGGGGGTACTTACTTGAATTAACTCCATAGTTGGCAGTTCGTTTTTTAGGACCTTTGCCCAACTTTGACTTTCTTGTATGTAGCTCTCTATAACACACTGGGAATTCTCACAGAGACAAAGTGCAAAGCTGCTGAGGGGGGACTTATACTTGCCAATCCGAGCCCCATTACCAGTTCCTGCCATCTGGAAGGACCTGAGTAAGCATCCCCCTTATAACAGGAGGTGATTTTTGAGGATATCTTGGCTTTCTTAGACATTCCCATATTTGGAGATTTTTGATTCACTGTTTCTCTGAAACCACTTTCCCTGAGCCGCCTCCTTTCTCTTTTGTAGCTTGACACCACAGCCACAAGGGTCCACTCTGTCATCCCTGCCACATGGCTGAAGAAACAGGTGTGTTTCCTTTTGAAGCTTATGCTCCAGCAGTGCGAGACCCAGTATGAGCTGGGAAAGCTTTTACATCTGTTTGTTGGCATAGAGCATCTCTTCTCTGATGGTAAGACAGTCCTCACAATTAAGTTGCTGTTATAATTAATTTAATTAAGAAAATAACTTTTTAAATTAATAAATTAATTAATTTTTAGCAGAAGAAAATGCTATATGTTGGTTAGAAGAGTTTTGGCCAACATCTGAATTAACATAATAAGATACTTTTGTTTTACAGGAGATCAGACTTAGTCATGTGGGCTCACAGGGTGCAACTCAAGTTCTAAGGTCTGTTCTCAGAACTTCTTGGAGAGCTGGTCTGGTGTTGGTAAATTCTTTCCGGTTTTGTTTATCCGAGAATGTTCTTGTCTTTTCTTCCCATATGAAGGATAATCTTGCCAGGTACAGTATTCTTGGTTGAAATTGCTTTTCCCTTAACACTTTGAATATATTTTCCCATTCTTTCCTTGCTCGCATTGTTTCTGATAAGGGATCCACTGTTAGCCTGATGGCATATCCTTTGTAGGTAACTTGACTTTTCTCTTGTGCCAATCTTAGTATGTTGTCTTTGTCTTTGGTTCTGTTCAACCTGGGTATAATGTGTCCTGGAGAAGATCTTCTTGGGTTGATTATATTTGAGATCTTTTATATTTCTTGGAACTTCTGGATATTTGAATGCTACTCTAGGTCTGGAAAATTTTCTTCCAGGATGTCATGGAAGAGATTATCATGCCCTTATGAGTCTCTTCACTTTCTGGGATACCAATGATCCGGATGTTTGTACGTTTGATGGTATCTAGTATTCTTCGTATATTATTCTCATTTTGGGGCGCAATTTTCTCAGTCTTCGTGGTGGATTTTTCTAGGCCAGTGATTCTATCTTCTACACCTGAGAATCAATTTTCTGTATAATCTAGTATGCTTTTCATACTTTCAGGGGATGTTTGATTTCCTGTATTATAGCCTTCATCTCTAACAGGTTCATTTGATTCTTTTTCTATGCTATTTATTTCTTCTTTCAGATCTTGCAAGAATTTCCTCACCTCCTGGAACTCATCAGCTCCTTTCTCCTGCCTCTTCTGCATTTCATTGTCTCTCTTCTCTTCCATCTCTTTTAGCTTTGTCACTATGAATATTCTAAATTCTTTATTTGACATTTCTGTGAGTTTCATTGTACTGTCTGAGGATGAAGAGGAGTTATTCTTTTCCCTTGGAGGAGAGGTATTTTCTTGCTTTCCTATATTTCTTGTGACCCTGCAGTGATTTCTGGTCATCTGATGGATGGTGCATTTCTTCCTAGTTCTTGAGTTCAGTCTGAGCATTCAGAGGCGTGCAGGAGAAGGTGAAGTACAATCTTTTTTCTGTTCCATTTTTCACTCTTTGTGCATCAGACTCAGTGGGAATTGAGAAATATCCTAACCCTAGTTATATTCAGATATTTGGATCCAGTTCACTTGGACCTGTCTAGACACTCAGTGCATGGAGGCTAAACAGCCAAGGAATAAGAATAAAGAAAAAAGGAAGAGTTAGAGAAGAGGAAAGAAGAAGAAAAAATAAAAAAGAAGAAAGAAAAAAAAATTTAAAAACTTTAGATTTTAATTTTATAAAGGAAAAAATGAAAACCACAGCCCACGCAAAAATACTATTTCACAGCTCAAGTTCAGTATTCATCTCAGGATGGGCCTGGGTTTGAGCTTTTCCTAAATGGAATGGGGAAAGGCACAGGTTAGCACAATAAAGGAGGGGCTTGAGAGCCTAGAGAATACTTTACCTTAAAATAAATAAATAAATGAATGAATGAATGAATGAATGATACAGGGAGATGCACAGAGATGGTGAGAATGAGACAGAGGCAGCCCTACCCACTAGAAATGAATCTGGAGGGAGAAGCCTCAGCAGAAAATCTTCATTTTTAGTCAATGAAAGCAGTATTTCACAGCTCAAGTTCAGTAGCCATCTCCAAGAAAATAATTTTTTTTGGGGGGGGGAGAGGTTTTTGAGATAGGGCACGTGCACTCACCAGACAGACAAGAGAGAGATAGAGAGACAGAAAGCGAAAAATCACCCCTCGGGGGGATGGCCACGCTGCAATCCCTTCTCCTCCATTCTCCTCTCGGGATCTTGGGCACGCACGCACACGCACC